TTGCGACACCTGAAGTCGGTGCGTCTGCACCGTCCGAGCCCTGAAATGGGATCGGAGCTTGTAGGGTTAAGTCCTCCCAGCGGCTCTGGGTGGGCTTGGCAGACTTCTTCAGCCATGGGTCTTGAACCCACAGAGGATCTGGCGGTGCAGCTGCAGTTGGGGCTGATGGCTGGCTGGGGTGTCCATGTTGGAACCCGCAGCTGCCGCAAAGGTTTGCTGTGGGAACAGGTTCCTGCTGATGTTGAGAAGATGATGCCGACGCATGGTGTCCGCAAAATGCAGCAGGTCTGGGGGAGCGAGGGCCCTGGCCCAAGCGTCCCTAGCTTGTTGCAATGTAGTTGCAATGAGTGCAGCATGCGGGGAAGTCTGGATCTCAAGCTCCTGGCTGGTGGACAATGGTGGGATCTGAATGCCAATCCGGTGATAGATCTCGGCCACGATGTATTGCCCGCAGAGACCGTGTGGGTTGGTTTGGTCTGCACAGTGACAGTGCAACAGGAAGTCTTGGCTCTGACATCCCAGGGCGGTGCGCAGGTGCTGAATCATGGGTAGGAGCCGTCCTGTGGAATTAGGCGGGGCTGTGAGGAAGAACTGAGCTCGCCTGTCATCCTTGTAGCACTCTGCCAACATCCAGTGATTGTTCTCCATAATGGGCCACACAACATGTCGGTACGGTTGGATGTTGGGAGGCGGCGTGTTTGGATAGATGAGGCTATCCGCAACACTGTCCCAGATGGCTGGCTGGCAGAACATGGTGTCTGGCAGAATCTTGCGAGGAAGATCAAGCACAGCATTGATCTCATCGGAACAGGCCCATGCCGGGTGGATGTTGAGCCCATGGAGCCGAGTGATGATACGCTCATGGATGTGGTTCAGCTGGAGATTATACGCCACCTGTGGTTGGTGAGCTGGCTGGGGCTGGAAGTCTACTGCAGTGGCCAGAGGTCTCTGATTGGTGAGCCCAGCTCTGTCATGCCTGCGAGCCAGGGCAACAAAGAAGTGCCGGCGCAGCCTTGTGGCAAAGTTCTGGAGGTGTAGTGGTGCCTCAGCTCTGATCCAATCTTCGATGGAGGCCTGCATAACCAGATTGATCTGGTCGGTGTGCTGAGGGCTGGTGGGTGCCTGGGCATCAAATTCAGCAATGTTGTGTTGCACGCCAAGTTGGGTGGCCCAGCTGCCAGCCACACAAATGTGGTGTGTGATCAGGGTGATCGTACTCGATTTGCGTGCGGTGTGGTCCAACGTCAATCATTCTGGCAAGAATCAGGATGATTCTGGTTTGGAGCCTGACAGGCACATGGACGGTGGTGACTTGACGACTTCAATGCCACACCAGTGGTTTCCAGCAAGGATGGGGATGTTGGTCTGGCCCGTTTCCCACACAATGGGAGGTCCAAACGGACCTTCGTCAAATTCTGACTTGTTGATGTCCCAGTATACTGGTGGTGAGAAATGCAGAGTTGCACCAGGAGTCCAGGCCAGAGACTGACAAATGAAGGACATTTCGTCTGCAGCAAGCCAGCCGTGCGTGTTGGCCGCAAACTCCGCCCTCTGGGTGAAGTCCGCATCCTGAGGGAGCTGTAAGGGCGCACCACCACCATGATGTCCACCCGCTCGAATGGCGGATTGTGGTTGCAAAGTGAGGAAGTCTCCATTGGAAAGGCCATGGTCTGCCTTGAAAGGGGAGCCATTGACATTGATGATTCCAAAAGCTCGGCTGCCAAGTTGGAATTGGGTACCAAACTGTAAGGTTGGTGGATGCAGGCAGGCCCAAATCGCCGGCTCGTCCTCAGTGCGGAGGAGAATGCATCGATGTTCTGCTCTGGGATCCGGTTGCCAAATGGCAATGGCAGAGTGGATGTGCTCGTTGATGTATTGCTTGTAGAGACCGATGGTGGTCTTGGCAGTGGTTCGTACACTGTGCACGAAATGGTCGTGGTCACAGGCAGGGATCCAACACGAGTAGGAAATCCCTTCACTGGGCAGGAGCAATGTGAAATTGCAGGCCTGGCTGGACGGATGGATCTGGCATTGCTCAAAAAGCGGGAAAAGCCCAATACTGGTGAGGTGTCGGATGGCTTGCTCGAAAGTGGCCTGAGGAACTGGGGACCACTGCTGGTGAAGTCTCCTCTTGAATGCTGTAGGGCATTGTGGGGGAGACAATCAGGTTGGTGCTGTGTTGCTTCATTCGCTTGGCGGGTGGCGCCGGCTCATCCTGAACAAAAAGAGTGCCAAATGCCGTGCTTCCGATGTGGAGTGTGCCCGGTGTGCTGTGGGCTGTGCATTCTGTGATGCAAGTGGCTTGCTCACATGGTTGACCATCGAAGGTGACAGTGATGAAGCGGCGCAGCATATGAGGAGCGTCAAACGCGATGTCAATGCACCGGCCTATGGTGTCTGTCGCCGTGGCAAAGGTGATGAGGGCATGGTTGCCCTGATGCAGGCGAATGTGGATCTCGTAGTCCCCGTCTTGCGGGCAGTCGGTGCGAAGCTGAATGAACTGGGGACAATTGCAGTGCCTTGCTATGTGTACCCAAGGGCCATCCTGGAAGACCAAAGCGTTGAAGTCCAACATGTCCGCACTTGATCAAAGATGTCGATGCGGATGGGCAGGATGGATTGAAGTCCAACGAGAATGGTGAGCAGGGAGTGCGGCACAGCGATGGCGTTGCCCACCAAGCGGAAGGCTTCTGAGAGCTTGGACGGTAGAGCTTGGTCAGTGAAAGCCCCCAGCAAGGCGACGAACCTGGCAGGGTCGAAGAAGGCAAAACCGGCTGGAAGCAACTGCAAGGCCGCGAAAAGACCCTTGCGGGCCAAATGCTGTGGAGCGAGCAAATGTTGCTCTGTGTACGAGGCACAAAGCGTGGGCATCAATTCATGCTCATGGACCAAACGGGCCATAAGGACCTGAGTGACAGTCGGTGCACTGCCAAGGGACGCTGCCTTTGCCGATGGAAGGAATCGAATGTCCCCATAAATCTTCTTCTCCATATCTGAGAGCAGCATCTGGTCGAGCCATGTCCTGGGCAGGGCGAACTCAAACGAGTCGTGCGACCAGTGAACACGAGGCAGGCATGATGGAGTGAGGCGGACATCGAAAGGCCTGGCATCGAGGTCAGCCCTAGCCCATGCTCCTAGCCACTCTGAGGAGAGACCTGATGCAGAATGGTGTCTTGTGACCAAATCAAACGATAGCCGAACAGGCGTGCCAAGTCGGTCAAAAGCTTAAAATGGTCGTGCCGGCTGATCTCGTCAGAGCATTCGGCCAGGATCAAGAGAGTCTGGAACCCAAATGCCTGTACAAGAGCTTCCGCAAAAGCAAGCCCGTTTGCTGATGACAGTCCTTTCCCTAGGCCGGCTTTCGACCAGCTCTGGCAGGGCGGTGACATGGTAACGATTTAAGTTCAGCTGACATTGTGAAAGATTCAAAAGGGAAGAATCGGCCACATGTCCACACACAGCGAGTTTGTCCTGTGGTGAATGACCTCAGGTGCACAATCAATGTCCAGCTGTTGTCCGATGTTCACTGCTAGGTCACTCGTGTTGATCCAAGCCATGGCTTGGCCCCAGCCTGAAAACAAGTGGATGACTGACCAGGTCATGTCGGCATCAAATGTCGGTCTGGTGCAAATGGCCACGTTGGTGTCAAAGTGAACAGTATTGGAACAGCCACCATGGGACACCATTCCCTTGCAGACAAAATGTGCGCCAACAAAGAAATTGGTCGGTCGCTTCTCAAGGTCGGGAATGGAAATGCTGTAGCGGGACTCACAGGCATCATCCAAGCACCAACCTTTGCCAGGAAAGAATTTGAACAACTTCGTGTCAATCACATTCCCACAAATCCCAACTGCTTCGCCAACACACATGAGCTCATCCCCGAACCGACGGAAAAGACCTTCATGCCTTGCAGCATCGAGAAAGGCAGTCATGCGAGAGCGAAACGGTTCCTCGACAGTCGTAAGCGCGGGAAAACGATCCATTGCTTAAGCCGCAGGAATCTAAGGGAAACCTTCAGACCGCACAAATGGCTGGGCCTGGGTGTCAGTGCCCTTGTAGACACTACGTTCCCGGCTGGTGGCCGAGACCCGTAGTCCCGGGAGGCCTGTCCTCCACGAGACCCTGAGCTTTTGAGCCCGAAGGTCTAATATATATATATAATATATATATATATTACATAATGAGTATGCTTCAATTGGGCACCATTTCTCATTTAGTTCTTCCTGTTACTTTTTGACACTGTTACGACTTCACAAAGGGGCTGACTTTGTTTTGACTAAGTGACTAAGTAGCTTCTCTGATTTGTTGCCCATCCTTTATATAGATATTGCATTTTTTGGAATACTGAGAAACGGGCAAAAAGGCTGAAGCTACTTAAGCACACAAGAGAAGCCAGACCAGATGGAAGAGAATTCATTCACCACCTCATCGTAGGTAGGAACATATAGGACATAAGAACTTAAGAACTGACCAAGAAGAGGGGGAGCCTTTATTAGCTTTTATACAGAGAACGATCCTTGCAACCTATATTCCTTACAAAGGAAGGATATCCTTACAATAAGTGGCCCCCAAATGTAGTCTCATACCAAGCTGGCTTTGGCGTATTTACTTGGGTGCAAGGATGATTTTTTCTGAATAATATCGAATAATACGAAATGCACTTTGATATTGTTATGGGGAAATTTAATCAGTGGATGGCTGGTTGAGAACTTACAATGCTGGCTGAAAGCAGAATCCGAAAACAAAGGCCAAATTTAGCCAAATCAAAAATCAATCGAAGCCAAGAAGACGATGTTTGAGAGCGCTATTTGGCGGGCAACACGTGTTGGGCTCCCAAAAGTTGTGGCCTGACTGGAAGAGTTCCGAATTATGGTGGCCCCTTCAAAACTGTGCACGTCAAGGCATTTGACTGTACCGAACGCTTGGGTACTTACCCACCCACCCACCTAAGACCTGCCTACCATACCTGCAAGTAACAATATCAAAGTTTCCATTGTCAGGTCCCGAATGAAAAAGGCCCCAGCAAGGCAAGGCGCATGACTCAAGAAGCCCACTTGGCTCCTACTCGTATCACGCTGTAAATCTCGCCCCCACGTTGCCAGTTGAAAAGCGGAGAATGTGATCGAAAAGGTTTCATCCGACTTCGTCTGGAGCTTAAGTTTTGATTTTGAGAAGGTTTGAGTCCGCTGATGGCACCATCGGGGTCAACAAGGAAAGATATTACTGTAAAAGTTCTGTAGCGTGGATTGGGGCACACATTCTCGTTCCCTACCAGGCCACCAATACATTGACAGATATTATTGACAGAGATTGGCCATCCCAATGTGAGAGACACAGACCAATTTTCTCCGCGTTTCCCAATCGGATGCGTATTGAGGCTCTGATGCCATATTCATCGAGGAGGACAAGTATAACTACACATATCACATATCTAAATTGTTTAAACATGTTCCTTTATTGTTTCGACAAAGTTTTTTTTTGTTGGTGATCTTCCAGACTCAGTGTCACAGGCGCCTGCGGAAATTGCCAGTACGCTTCTAGCACTGAAGAAAGCTTTGGAAGACGAATCTGACAATCATGTTTTCGAAACCAGCAAGGCGCTAACTGTGGTGCTGATGCAGTGTGTGATGTTGAAACTATTTAGCTCTTGCATCACTGCTACAATGTTCTAGAGATAGTTTTGGAGTGTACCGTCTACCATATACGAATACAGCATGCACATGACAAAGGGTTTGCATACAGGCGAAGTTCAATCAGCGTCAGCGAACTGCTTTGCTGAAGGAGGCGACCAAGGGAAGGGCAAAGTTCATCACATTTTCAGATGCCAGTGCTGAACTGGGCATGCCGTGCAACAAGTGAAACTAAGGCCATGGACGTTGGCATTGTCATTGTCATTTCTTTGAACGCTCTTGTGATCGGTATAAGTGCGGATAATCCTGGCAATGCCGGGCTTTGGGAAGTTCTGGAGCTGGTGCCCCAACTGCACACTGCCGATCATCGCTAGGTTCAGCACTGTGCACAGACAGCATATTGGCATCAAAACGTTGCATGTGTTATTATTGACGAGGTGTTCTTTACCATCTATTTGGCAGAGTGCATCGTGAAGAATATATGGTGGGGGGTGAGCACTTACTTTTGTGGCTTGGCTTGCGTAAAAACATGCTTTTTTTGCCACACGTATGCCAGACGTATTTTGCACCGGCCTTGGTACCTGAGCTGGGCCAGAGCGCCAATAGCAGACCGCAAAACAGGACGTTGCAGTTCCCACGGTTGGCTTAGGCTGTGGCCGTCAGTGTCACGCCACAGCAAATCTAGACGACATACCAATACCAAGGTTTTTCTGTTTGATTGGATCCGAACTGTTTGCTCTTTGGATCAGACGGATTGTCCTCGCAAGAGGGCAGGAGTTTTGGAGACCAAGTCTTCAGCCTTCAGCTGGGTTTCAGCATCACTCGTACCAAATCTATATTGTAATATATTGTAATTTAAAGCTACATACATTATAATCTGTTTGAAGGGTGGCCATGGGTGGCCTTACCCTCTGAAAGAACAGTGTGCACTACAAAATGTTTGCTGAAAAACAGGTGGTAGGTGGGTAGCACAATAGTTATCAACAGGTGGGGGAGGATTTCAAAGTAGTTTCTGTCCACAATCATCATCAAGGTACCCAGCCTGCCCACAATACTGAAATTGACAGCCATGGAGAAATGGAATCAAGTAGCATCGTTCGGATCTCACACTACCAAAAGTAATCTTGGCCGAGGTGGGTCGCCCTCGCCTCCTAAGTAGTCTATGTACAGATTCTTCTATAGATTTGGAAGTGGTACCACCCATGGACCGTGGATTGGCAAGGATTATTTTTCTGCGGTCACGCACTGTGGCATTGTCTTTCGTTTCTACTTGTCATGTCTCACTTCTCGTTACCAATTGGCCACCAGCTTGAACGGGCGTTAGAATGTGTTAAGAACCTGCTTCCGAGTCCTACCATGCCAACAGCACTTCTTTTGGTTGAGAATCCAAGAAGCAGAGGAAACCGTTGTTCGACACCGGGACAACAATCTGATTTTGTGATGACCAGCCACATTTGCACAGCAGGTGGTGCTGACTGGACGTGGAACTTGTTTGATTTTTTCTGCTTGCTCTTGTCGGCGGTTGTGCCTTGGACAGTAAGCTCGTCGTGCCATGTTCATGATTGAAAACATTGATAAATCTATATATTATATATTAATATTGATTTTTGAATGCTTAATTTTCCGACAATGGGTACACTTGAGTCTAAGGAGCTGCTCCTGAAACTGGCGGCTGGCACTACGGGGGGCAGCCAGCTGAATCTATTGAAGGCCTTTGGTCGGTGTTTGGCGTGAGTTCCAGTAGAATCTAGAGGATCACATCGACAACTCTGATCAAACTTGCATTGAATTGTGAAACAATCGTCTTAGATTTGGTTTGCAACGTAACGTTGCTGCACTTCACTGAGTGATTCACCAATAGTCAAGTCGTTGTGCAGCTGTGAGGTGCTGAGACTTGCCAGACTTTTTCGCTTAGTACGCATCATGCGCTTTAAGATGTTCAAGGAGTGATCCATATTGGTCCATTACCTTCGTTCACTGCTGCTTGCAACTGCCTCTGACTCTGGCTATTGAAGCTGGAGGAACTCAAACTTATGGCGATGGGCCTTCTTTCTGGCATTCGGGCATTGATATGGGCGGTTGTTCTGCTGTTGGCACCTGTCCTGCAAGTACCAAATCAATATGAACAATACAATTTCTGGCCAAAGTGCCTGTGAATGCCTGTGTTGTTTGTGCCATCGCGAGATAAGGTCATCATCTATACGGTAAGTATTATCACGAAGTCTCTCCTGGAAGACGAGGAAGAGTTCAGCACTGTCGGCGTGGGAGCCTTATGATAGTTCATTTGTTCAAGGTGGAAACAGAAAGTGGATATTTAGCGGTGAACAGAGTGGTAGTCGTGACATGTACCATCGCGAGGCTGGAATGTTTACTTTGTTCCGGTGCTTCACCGAAGCATGCGAGACGTATAGTGGTGACCCTATTCCCGAGAGGATCTATGCAAAGCTCGGCGGGGAGCGATTCGGCAATGAAAAGACGTACTGCAATTGAGAAAGCAGGCGAAGGAAACACTTCATGCTATATACGAGGAAATTATTCTCCCTATGCTCCAACACGTGTATTCAAGGCAGCAGCTGCTATTTCATGCAGCCTACGTCCTTGTGACCATGATGATCACCGTAGGCCGGAAGGAACTTCCGGTGGTGCGATTGAGCGCACAAGTGTGCCTTTGAGCGCTGTGGCTTGCTGAAGGTCTTTTCAACCTTATCATGGCTGCTGTCTCAGAGAATCAAGAAAGGATTGCATGGTTTGTCCCGCGCTTGTGCCCTTGCTGCTTGCCCCTTGATATTGCTTGACAGATCTTGACAGTCTTGACCGTATCATTTTCTCGGGGCTTGCTTGAGATGTGCACTTCAATCCTGCCCGAAAAAACTTGACATGTCCTGTGTGAGGCGGTGTTCATAGACAATGTCACGAAGTCGCAGATGCTTAGCAGCACTGTGAATCCGAACGACTAATTAGTGACTAGTGCATTCTTTCCGCCATCCATTAGCTGATTGAAAACAAATCAATATCCACGAGTTTCCCTAAAACACTTCAAGAGTGGCAATGAAGGGGAAGAGAGATCCTGGAATCAGACGAGAATCGTTTGCCCCCCAGGAACCAGCGCAAGCAGAAAGAGCTTGGCCCATGGCTCAGCATCGATGCTGTCCTGATCGTCTCAACACACCGTGCAAGGAAGGCACTGTAGCTATGCCGCTACGCCCGACCTAGTACATCACGCACTGCTTGAGAATCAGTTTACGTCACAGGTGAAACGGCCATTGAGACTGAAGTGAATCTCAAGATGTTGTTGGCTAGGCCTTGAACCGGGCCGTATTGTTTTTTCTTGCAAGACGTGTCTGGAGCTTCCCGTGAAGGTGCATCAACGAACCTTCTGAAGGCAAATCCTCGTACATGATGGAGCGTGGCCTGGGCAAAATTCAATTTCCTGTCCCTGACAATTCCTTTCATCAGAATTCATAAGATGTTTGGATTTTGTTTCATCAGACTTGTGTAATTACATGTAGTGTCATGTAATTAAATACACATCCTTTGGCGGCTCTAGGCTTTTCAGAGGAGGTCAGCAATAAGCTGAACAATCTAACCGATGTCGCCAAAAAGCGCCACCAGCTTGAACAGCGGGTCTGCGCGGATGAAGCGTTCCTTGGCTTCGGAGCTATGATGGTTTAGTCGTGGTGTTGCAATGCTTTGAAAAGATAGCGATGCGGAGAGAATGATGAGAGAGGGAGGAGAGTTTTGAGACGCCTAAAGACTGATAGTTACTGTATACTGTATACCTTGCCTTGACAAGATTGCTGAAGGTTCCGACTGCTCAAGGACACTTAGCTCGACGATTCAGAGTGGCTTCACTTCCAAGATCTTACAAGCCTATCTACTATAGCCGTGTTTCTGTTTTTTTGGTTCTTCCAACTGCTTGCAGATTTCTTGTGGTTTGGTCATCAAGGAATGCAACATCAACATCACCAGGGAGATCTTTCAAGCGTGGCTTCAGGATCCGGAATTTGTTCGAGTTTTGGAGGATGCAGATGTGGCCTGGCGTGATAAAAGGAAAAGCAGTCTGAAAGACAGTTGCAATAAAAGGCCCTTGATTTGCTCCATGTTATTAATTATTTGTATTTATATGTGTTGTCAGGTGGACATTTCGAACAAGTTTGAACTTTTCAACATCTTGGATGTGGACTTGGGCGGTGGCAGCCTTAGTGAGCTTCAGTACAAGCAATACCGGCAATACTGCACTTTTACAACAAAAAGCATATCCCAGCATGTGCGGACAACACCGAGCATTCAGAAATTTAGGTTTTTTCCTTTTTGCAGCCAACCTTGGCTTTGCAGTGTCAAAGGTGAGTTGTCGCCACATGAGCTCCTCACTGGTCTTCTGAGCTTACGCGGTGATGTGTCTAAAGGCAACTGGACCAAAATTCACAGAACCGCACACTTCAGTAGTGAATCAGGCCTCAAAGTACAACTTACTGTACACATATATGTGTATAATCATATGTGGATATAATTTGATGTATTTGTTCATCAAATAGAAAGCTAGACAGCAAATCAAACAACGGCTTTCAGAATATAGATAGGAAACAGCCAGTTCTTGCAGAAGCAGCCTCCGATTTTTGTCAGCGCAAGGTGATGTCATTTACATCCTCCTACGTGTTCGAGATATGACTCATCGAATGGAACAGTTGCAGTATGACATCCGCAACCTTAAAAGTGGATTGGATCCATCGACAGCTCGCTCTTCCTAGCAGCATCTAGCAGCTTGACTTAGAAGGTGGACACTGCATGATCCTTGGCCTCAGGCTCAGCTGCTGCCTCAGCACAAGGGGCGTCATGGAGAGAGAGAGAGAGAGGGAGAGAAGAGAGAAGCGAGAAGAGATAAGAGAGAAGAGAGAAAAAGAGAGAGGGCAGAGATAGAGATGAGCTGATTCAGGTAACAGGGCAGTTTGGCCCTTTAACAAGTGTGCAGCCGACTTTACATGATTGATCCTGAGAATTCTGTTTTATACTGACGGATCAAAAGCGGCAATCGTATTGGCGTGCGAAGCTTGCCTACGCCCACAGATCGTGATGTAATGTGTTTCAACTGATAACATTCTTGAGTGTGTTTGCTCAAGCCAATGCACAGTTTTTGTCATAGTGCATATCAGTGCAAGCTCCAGGCCAGAGCATTGCTTAGTGAAGTCATAGACTCCGACACATTCTGACGTTTTGCAACCGCTGCCTCACGAATGTGAACACCTCTGAGGGCTCGCAATAAAGCGAACAAATTGACGAGCCACCAGAAGTTGCAGCGTGGCACTCCTTACATAATGTATCTCACTTGCTGTAAAGCTTACACCCTCTTTGCCCTGTATGGCTTTCAGCTGCTCAAAGCACTTTTCGCTGGCACTAGATCACCAGAGATAAAAATTGGAGGCATTGCCAGACTTCGCTGCAATTTCCGCATGGGAAATTTGTTGATGTGTATTGATATATTTGGATCGATGATTGATTTCAGCAATCTCATTTGTGTAAATACCTATATATATATATATAAATAGCTTAGTATGTAATATAATATATTGTAATACTATATATATATAATACATAATATAGTAATTATACTCTAGTTTTACCGTAATACCATGACGAAGCCAAACGTTTTTGCGGCGACAGAATGGATTGCTTCCTTCCACGTGGCAACGTGCTTGTTGGTAAGGCATGGCTGCTCCGGAATTGCGTAGCATGTTGCCATGCCTTTGCGTGTGTTGATAAAGAAACAGGAGTGGCCCTGCTCATGGCACCCGTGTCGTGGCATTCATTGGGATGGACAAGCATGTGGCCCTGACAGTTGCGGGGTGGCCCCTCGTGTGGCCTTAAAGTCGCGCCGCGTGCTATTTACAGGAGTGGCCCCTCACTCACCCCGGCTGGGACTTGGAGGGGTATTCATTGGCGGGATCTAACCGATGAGGGGAAGGCACTGTTCTTGATGAAAGGCGGATGTGCTGTTGACTCCGCCCTCGCGCCTGCAGTTTTCTAGTGCTGTATCAGGGGCTGTTTTGAAAAGGCGCCCGCGAAAAAGGCTATGTAATGACTGTGCGCGGGCTTGCTGGACTGCACCTGACGAAGTCTGACTGTGCCAAATTGTTTTGCGACGCAAAAAGCAAGGCCATGAAGCCTTCGTCTGGAGGGCCATGGTGGGCCGGTTGAAATATGTTAGGGCCGTCCGGGCGAAAGAAGGGGCAACGTTGGCGATATGCAACGTATTGAATTTCTTATTGTTATTAGACAAAAGGAAACGCCTTCCTTTTTTCTCTTGAAACTAAAAGGGCTTCAAGTATGTATTGACCATGTCTTATGGCATCAAGCGAAAATCGAACTCGCCGCAGTGCTCTCCCCTCCCGATGCAATCGTGGACATCAGGAGGACGAGTTCCAAAAGACTCAAGCCCCTTTCGTTGTTGGATCTTCGGGGGCGGACTGAAAGAGGTTTCAAAAATGCAGCCCTCCGCACGTGAAAAGATCGACCATCAGACATTTCCCTTTCAATGTCCGAGGCCACACATGAAAAGGCCTAGGGCCTAAGCACAATCCCCTCTCAGCACAGCCACCCTGGAGCGTGACATTCTCGGCTCAGCAAGCATTGACATTCGGGCCTGACATGGAATAGAACACACTGGCCCCCTTCCAATTCTGCTTGAGATAGCTCATGGATCTGTTTCCACGGCGATTGTCGACCCGAGCAAAGATGCGTCCATCTTCGAGTCTTCCCAGCGTCACAACTCCAGCTGAGATGCCATTATTGGAGGGAGGTGCATTCACTTCGGAATCATAGAGCTTCTTTCGCCAGTCCTCGTGCTTAAACATCAGGATGTTGAGGGTACCCTGGATGGCCTCAAGCTGAAAGGACACTGGTGATCTCCTGGCTGGAGCTTCAAGCTCTTCGATGAGGGACTCAGGAAACATCCACTTGAAATGCTTCAGATCCTCTCGCCTCAGGCGACGAAGAAAACTGGGCAATGTCTCCTCCTCCCTGGCAAAGAGAACCCCATCAAAGAAAACATGCGGCCCCACAGACAAGCCTTCTTCCCGGGGTTCATCAACGTCCCGTGTCACATCATGCTTTGGCGTCAACCGTCTCACCGCCGGCTGCCCAGTGCCATAGAGCTCTTCAGACAAGTTGGTAGACGATGAAGACGTCATAGCCCCCACGCCTGAGCTGCCAAAGCCTGCCGTTCCTCTGATCGAAGGTGATAGAGAGGCTGTTGACTGGATTTTTACATTGGAAATCTTCTCCAGAATCAGCTGGCCAATTCTATCGCCCACGTTCACCGTGAAGGTCTCCTGGCTATTGTTCACCAGGATGATCTTGATCTCCCCTCGATAGTCAGAATCAACCACGCCACCTGCAACAATCTGCAACGTCAATTCCTCGAACTGCCAAAGAGCTTCGAGGGGCTATCCTTCCGTAGGAGTCTGAGGGGGACGTCTATAGCCAAGCCAAGGGGCACCAAGCGACGTTCTCCCGGTTGAAGAGAGACTTGCACAGAAGATGCCAAGTCCCAGCCAGCAGCGCCCTGAGAGCCTTTGACTGGAAGTGTAGCCTGATCATTCAGCAGCGTGACTTTCAATGACTCTCCCTTGGAAATCAGGCGTTTGACCAGCTCCCAACCCAACTCCTTGATGAAGTGAAGCAAGCACACCAGCCCAGCGAGCAAGAGAATCCAGCCCTGATCGCGCCATGACGATTCGTGGTCTTCTTGGGTCACCCTTTTCTCACACGTCTCTGACGCATGAGCTCCTGGCAACAACGCAACTCCTGCAGCCAACAGGGACAGATCACTTGACCACCCATGGGGTTCGACAGAACTGTCACCTTCTTGTCACTCCCCTGCTCGCCACCGCTCAAAGTTGGACCACCTAGCCAAACTCCTCGACAGAAACGGCCAAGATGATGAGCAGGAAGAGGTTTTGTGAGTCCATCTGCCCATAGTGAACTCCCCATGCGGTGGCTCAGCGACAGCTCCCCAACTTTCAAAGCTTCCGTTAGGCAGCTTGCTCTCATTCGCAAGTGGCGTCTCCTCCAACCGCCGCCCGATCCCGAACCCAAAACAATCGCCGCCCGGTTGTCATTGTAGATCTCGAGGTCCTCGATCAAAGCACGCACCGACCTGCCGGTTTGTAATCCATCGACAATGGCTGTCAATTCAGCCTCTGCCGTTGATAAGGCCATAAGGCTCTGCTTTTTTGACTCCCATTGGATAGGGCAACCCGCCAAGAGGATAATGGTTCCTGAGATATTATGGCCATCACCCGGTGAGAAAGATGCATCTACCAGAACTTCTAAAGTACTAAAATGGCGAGGATGGATTCGTTGAAGGTCCGGATAAGAATCTTTAGGTATTTGGCTCGTATAATGAAGGCCAAACTTTAATGAAGACTTTAAATAAGCTAGAATGGGTTTGCCTAGCGCGCTTATGCGTATAGCCATTAAAAATAAAATATAATGGTAGTTTTATTCCTTTGTGTACGCGTTCGAAGGTGAAAGCGGAAAGCGTTGACGTACGCATCTAAAAAATTGCAAAAATGAAATGAAAAATATAAACCTAGAATCGATCGTTACGAACAAACTCGAAATAAATAAAGATTATTTGCGGTAGATAAAACGGGATTTAATTCCGCGATCGACGGCGTCGGAACGTAACGGAATTATTTAGTGATATAACAAAATATATAAAATAAATAAATTATTTTATATTTTTAAAAATCGAAATATATAAATAATATAATTATTAAAGGGGGGAGATTCGGATTGCGACGGAAACCATAAATTAATTATAAAGAATCTAAAATTAAAAATAAAAAAAACGATTATGTTGCTTTAAAAATTTGTATTTTTATTCGATTATATCTTAATTTATAATATTAGAAAAAAAACATATTATAAAATTACCTAATTTAAAATATAATTATATATTTTGAAATTTCATATAACTAAATTCGCAAAAAAATATAGATATTTATTTATAAAAAAAATATATATTTAAATTTTATATAATTTGTTAAATTATACTTAACATAAATTAATAATATATATAAATATATATAATTAAAAATAAATAAATATATTATTAAAATTATTTTATTAAATAAAAAATAATTGAATCTTATAAATTAATTATAAATATATATATATATAAATACATATATAAATAAAATTATAAATTAAATCACAATAACAAAATACTTATAATTTGTATATATAATATAAAAATACTATAAAATAATAATAATAATTTGAGAGGAGGGAGACACGAAAGGTAGGATAGCGGGAAGAAAAAAGAACACGAGAGGCAGGAAAAAAATGCAATATTCGATATGATGATTTATCTCCTCGGAGGCGACCTTTCGTAAATATAATTTCATATGTATTCTATAATATTCGAAAATATATTCTCCAAATACTCAAGAAGATTCGTAGGAAAACTAGACGACGAGTGGCCCGAAAGCATTTTTCATTACGTAGGAAGTTAGAGTGTAAGTTATCTGTTAAGTGTTTAGTGTGAAGTGTTAAGTCGAGTGAGTTGAGGCAGTGTGTGGGTCTCTGTATGTGTGTATCTATGTCTGTGTGTGTATGAGTCTCTGTCTGTGTGTGTGTCCGAGTAAGTTGAGGTAGTGCGTGGGTCTCTGTGTGGGTGTATGAGTCCTTGTCTGTCTGTTTATGTCTACTGCTGGTGAAGGTCTTCATTGTAGATATAGTAAACGATATCTATGAGAATCTTATGAGGTATATTGAAAATTCTTGCAAGTACATTTTCTATTGCTGTTGATTTGTTTTATATTCTTGGCGACGATCTGCCCAAGTTCTATGGAAATTTGTGCAATCTCATTTTGAGCACCAAAAGGTAAGCTGTGCAAAATGCACAAATGCATAACCACACCGCTCTCTAGATAATATTTTCTTCATTTAAGATGTAGTTTATCAACCACTATACTAGTCATTTTCTTATCGATTGCCCAAAAGAAACAAAAACGTGCCAAGTAGCTTCAGGTGACATGCAGCAGCCATTACCTATATCTTCGTGCGCTCTCTCTGCTCAGCTCGCGACTAGCCTGTGTATACGGAAAAGATTCCCCGAAAATATACCTAGCAACGTCCTTGTTGTCCTTCCGGCAAGGGCACTTGCCTGGATTTGAACAATGGGCTCCACCGCATTCCAATGCACAAGATTGAGTTCTTACAGACCAATGTTTCTGCCAAATTTAAAGATGGATCCTGTCTTGAGGAGTGCGTGTGTCAAATAGATTTGGGGGAGCTTGATCAAATAGATTTGGGGGAGCTTAATCCCAGCACGCACCCGAATTTTGTCCTAAAAGCACAAGATTAAGTTCTTGCAGACCAACGTTTCTGCCAAATTTAAAGATGGATCCTGTCTTAAGGAGTGCGTAGATTAAATAAATTTAGGGGAGCTCGATCCCAACACGCACCCGAATCTTGTATTAATATGTATAATATAAAAATAATATAAAATAACAACATCCCCGTAGGAACTACGCCTAGCATTTTATAGTCATAACCCACCCTTAATAATCACAATACACCATTATAAAATGATTTCATAAGACAGGCCTACCCCACAGAAAATACTATATGGACTTTTAAAAGCAATCATAAAATAAAGGTCCTAAAAAATAAAAAATATAACCTAATAATTTAGAAGTGCTATCATGACCCAAAAGCATAAAATCAGCCAAATCTTTAATCAATTCTAATTAAATTCTTTACTTTTGGAGATTATTAATAATTAAGAATAAATATTCATTTCTTTAATTCATAAAGATTTATAAAGAAAAATTGTTTCTGCTTTCACTTTTCTAAATTTCATAGGCTAACTTACGACCACACACAACCAAAAATACCCATATTTTCCAGAAACAATCAAAATACATTCCCATTATCTTACATCTCTATAAAATAAAAACACACACTCACACAAGCCAATAATACGTCTATAAATTACATTTCCTACCAAATATCAAAATTTATAAAATAAAAATATAAATATTTAAATAATAACTATTGTTAAATTATAAAATTATAAAATCTACCTTTACCTAATTCAAAATATAACCGCCAAAAACCATTATAAAATATAAATATATTCCATAATTATATTCAAAATTCAAACATATTACTATATATATATATTTTTCATTCTATAGCAAAACATAACCATTTAATCCCGTATAAAATAACCCCTAGTTTTAGGATTCGAGCTCCTCATTTTATAGGATTTATTCCCAGGGGGATATAATAATAATAACAAACAAAAAAATATAAATACATACTAATAACAAATATTAATTGTATTTCGGATACCTTTATTAATCAAAACGCAGATCGACTAATTTTATACCGAGCCCCTTCATTAATTATAGGTCAACATTATTTCAACGCACATTCCTCCCAACATATCATAAAAAAGCAGAATCTTGTTCTTCAACATAGGAATTAAACATTATATCTTTCTTTTGCTATATTCATTTGGTTTTCGGAGTCGAATATGCACATAGATCAACCTGATGCATTCAAGAACATTTCTTGAAGAAATAATTGATAGATCCGGGGTTCAGACGGACGGCAAGCGCCTCATCCTATCAGTCCTGCAACAATCTGCAAAACAAATGATGAACGATTCATGACTCATGAATGATCTGGAATGGAACGATCTCACTCTTTCAGAATGTTCAGTATCTTTGGCACAGCTTTCTCCTCTGGCGCGGCTGTAGTCTTCCCGTTGCTTTGGAACCACGCCTCAAAGATCAGAAACGACGAAGGGTTGAAGTTGTGAGGACTGAACAATGATCCTTTGGGGCCAGCACAGCCAATATGCGCTGCCTTGTCTGACCAATGGTGAAAACTACATCGATTACAGGCCAGCAGCCGAATTCAAGCAAAGCTTCCTTCGATGTCTCGATCTGCTTTTGGCTCGCTGTGCATGTCAGATTCATCCTGTCGCAGGATCAAGGCTCATGCCCCTTGGCTTTGCTCCAAAAGGGTGCTGGCATTTGGGGAATAGACAAAAACAAGTGAGCCATGCACTCTGTTGATTTCCCACATGCGCAGTACAGAAGTTTGGCAAAGCACATTACAGTCATCACAGTCACAGCTTGCACTCACAAGCCCAAAAACTGTGCTGGAGCCACACAAAGGTATACCCCCTTCTCTTCCTGTGGGTCCTGTCGGAGATTGAGACCAAACATATGTTGCAAAGCAATTTCACCCAATCGGGTCATCTCCTTTTGTGATGCCACTGTTCAATACTGTTGCCATATCCGTCCTTTGCCCTCGGCACCATACTCACTTTGCGAGTCCGCTGGTTTTTCCGCGGGGTGTTCAGGGTGATGAGGCTACCTGGCAATTTGAAGTGAAATGCTTACTAGCGTGGCGCTTGTTCCTAGTAGCTTCTTGTTACTACTAGTAAGGCACTTGTTACTACTAGCGTGGCACTTGTTACTAGTAGGGCCAATGCTCTTTACGCCCTTACGCTTGTTTCTATTTGTTTCTTTCTCTATTTGCCTCCAAGTGGTGGAGTCAATGGACGAAAAAATAAGCGATTGTAGGGCTGTCTTGTGCATGCCAAAATCGTCTTCGACCTAAGTGGTTTGCATCGAGGTGTCACAACAGTTCTTGGAAATAGAAATGAACAAAACGTGAAACAAAAGAAATAAGAAAGCATGGGGCGATTGGTGTTGCGCTACGCCAACAGGAGCCTGGCCGACAGACGTTGGCAAGGATTGGAGGAGCAAACGAGCAAACTCTGTCGAGGAGTTTATGTTTGGTTGTCTTCAATTGCCTTTTTCTCCGATGTATCACTGTCATCATCATTTTCTCGGCTGCTATCCCTGGATTTCGGAATTTCCTGGGACAGGTGAAGCGCAATTGAAAGTTGCTTTACAATAACCTCTGCAACCTTTGCATGTCCTCCTTTGATTCGTCATCCAAAGAAGCCTCCTGCACTCCCAGAGTCACTAAGAAACGAGAAGTTGTAGCTGACATTTGGAAAGGTGAAGGTCCACCGCATCTTGGGGTGATGCCTCATGTATTTAGGATTCGGCATGTTGTGTCCAAAGGATTTCCACTTGGTCAAGAGTCATGTTCCATGGCTCCTTCGGGGGCGCAACCGAGAAGAAGGTCGCGCTGCCCCTCTCGATGAAAGACAACAGCTCCTCCACAGAAACATTGCCTGACAGGGTCACTACTTCCAACAATAACATTTCGACTTATGCACAATTCAAGCCAATGTGGTCTTTAGATTAGCGTGGTCTCAAGTCAGCATCTGCATACTAGCGCTTGAACTAAGGCTCAATAGGCCATGCCACAATATTACAGGTCAATCGATCCCATAGAAATAGAACAGATTCTCTTGTGAACATGTCTGTTGTCTTCAGCTGGCGGACCGGTGCGGTCGCCATCAAGCGCAGCTGCTAAATTCTCCACATCGCTATCACTAATCACTGCCGTGCTGATGCGTAGTTCCTTTCGAATCAGCTTCTTCAGCTCGGTCCTTCTGGCAAAACCGAATCAATTGCAAATCATAAAATCACATGATGAGCTAATGAGTTCAGTTAAAATGTAAATAACAGGAGAAACATGATCATAATAGGAGATTGGCAGCATGTTGCCACTTTTCGACGGTGGTTTAGCTTTATGGGTTTGCCAACTGAGCCACGATGTCAGTGTGCCACTGCGATCAGCATCCTGAGTGTCTACATGTGAACGGCGGCATTTATTTGTTACCAAACTTAAATATACTTAAATACTTTCTATTAGTGTGGGGGCCTTATCTTCATTTAGTAGGAGATCACAGTATCTCGTTCAGACTGCTTTGATGTCATCAAAACATGTATCTTGTTAATGTGGGGCCCTTATCTCGTTCACCAGCGAATAGTGATGTTGGACAAACAAATCGAGCATGCTGTAGACTACTTCAGTCACCAAATAAAAGTGGTTGCTCATGTGTGCGCAGGCTTGCGATGGTTTCCAGCAATGGGCCTCGTAGGGGTAGCTTCTGTTACTAGTAGCAAATAGCTACTAGTAGCTTCTTTCTACTAGTAATGTCCTCGTTACTAGTAGCGTTGCACTTGTTACTAGTAGAATCCCAAAGTCAAATAAAGAAAGTGTTGTTGCTACGGTCAGGGCCTCAGGGTTTATTTTGGGGGTGGTATTGCCTAAGACCGGCATTCTTGTATGTGTCAAATCCAAGTGGCATATTTCCCAAAGATCTTCCGCAAAGAGACCTTGGCTAGTCATGTCCCGTCTCACCTGTCAAACCCTTCAAGCCACCTCTTCAAAAGCAAAAGCTCGCAAGACACAGCTCTGTTGTAAGTTACTTCACTTCAGATAAGTGGCACCACGAGTTGCCGATTGGAGCTGGGATTGCATTCTCCGTGCAACCTCAACAATCTCGGAAGATTGAAGTTTTAACTCTGAAAGGTGCCCTACTAGTAACAAGTGCCACGCTAGTAGTAACAGGTGCCTTACTAGTAGTAACAATAGTAGTTTTTCTGATAAGAATAGCGGCTCTCAAACGGCAGCACGCTGTGCACTTTGACGGTTGGTTGTCAGGTTTCATTTTGGCTTTTAACTGATTGCCGCCTCCTCGCTGATCTTTGCTTTTTCTGCTCGCTTCTTTTTGGTCCTGTGACATGCTTACCAAGCACTACACTGGAGCGACATCTCTACCATTGTCCCATTGTTGGCATTCACGTTCAATTGATGTGACCGGCACTCTCAGTCAAGAGCTTCAAAAAAAACTTGTTGGTTCAAAAGTATAGAATATATGTACAGCTTCCTGGCTCACAACTTCATTTTGTAGTCCATGGTCAGCGCCTGCCGCTCTTGGATTGAGCAGTGTTTTGCCGTTGTTGCTCTGGATGTGGAGGCAGCCAACCATTCCAATCCTCTGGCACCACCGATGTGTGATCGTTGCCTTGCAATTGTAGCTGATCTCACCAAAACAACGACGTGCGTCACGTTTGATTTAACACAAACACCTCAGTACCTGATGAGACCTTAGAATCGATATCGCCCGTCTTCAAACACTATAAATACTATATTGTAGATACTTACTGCATATCACGAAAATCAAATCACTACAATTTCAACTCTCTCCAACTACAATGTTTGGCAACCCCTACACATACACGCAACAACCGAAAGGGACGGCCGGGGTGTGTGTGCATACTGTAGTGATGAATCCAGCAACGGAGGCCTGGCACTACGAAGGCGTAGGCGTGCAATTCTGCATCGGGTGCCCAGCAGTGGTAGGGATCTGGTGCGAAACCTGGCAACTAGCAAACTTAGATATTCTACCCACGAAGAAACTGAGGAGTTACATTGATACTCACAATATCACAAGGAACGAATGGAACAGGCACAACATATCTTAAAACAAATGCGTGGCACAGTAACGCAGCGCCAACACTATGCGACTCCCATGCAGCACCTCGGTCTCCAAAGCGCCTGAAGCCAAGATGAGGCTGGTAGCCTAAGCTGTGAAAAGCACTCTGCTTCCAGTAGTGACGTAGTCATCGTAATCATACATAAATCTGCACGACAAGGACGGCTGTAGCAAACCCAGCTTTGCAAAAATTAATCAAACATAGACGGTCTAATGATTCCTAATGTACTTTGCCAGTGGTCGACAAGTCCCTCACATGATATCTCATGATATGCATCTCCGTGTTCCACCAAGGAGCTGTGGTAAGTGCTGGCCCAGGGAAGATCCCATTCATCAGGGAAACGGTGCAAGGGCTGAATCCGTGGATCAACACCCGGCTCTCCGAAAAGCATGGCGCGAAGCGTAAAGCAGTTCTGAAAAACTCCAACTTCACCTCTTAAGGTTGAAATGAAGAATCATGAAGAATCATGAAGAATCATATAGGTAGGGCATAGCAATCAGCACCATCTTAGTTGTGATTTAGCCGAACTGCTTGTGATCAGTCGTTCCAACAAGTGTCTTGTCTTCTTAAAACTCCACGTTCGTCAAACGCTCTAAGCCTTACAGCTGACGGCTAACTACCTGCGAGCTTTCCAGGGTGAGATGCTCTCAGCAGTGTGCCAACGTAAGAGACTATCTCTGCTTGTGAGCAGACTTGTCAGATTATGGTCACTGCACCAAACAAAACTGTAAGAAGCACAACAAGTAAAACATAATTGCTTAAGGGCTATACCCTGGTCCTGATTCAAATAGATCTCCACCCCGGTGAAAGCCAAAAACCACAAAGGAACTTGGTGTCCTATGCCAAAAAGTCTTAATATGGCGACATCGACCAGTCATTAGCAGAGCACCTTGACGGGAAAAACACCTGTATGCTGCCATCTCCGATTCGAGTTGACCCCGGCCATGGACATATGAAGTGTTTGAATTGGGCCACCACCCACGCAAGTGGCACCTGTCGCAACTTCTAAGTGGTGTGCCACATATGAGATCTATCTTCAACAAGATATAACATAGGAAATAGGGAAGCCTACCTCCCACAAAGACATTGATGGAGAGAGAGAGAGAGAGTGTGTGAGCACGATAGTGATTTTCACGCCTTGCATCTGCCTAGCTTGGGCAAAAAGAAGATTCCAACAAGTGCACTTCCTTTAGTTTGGGTTCAATGCCATGTGTGCAGTATGGTTTGGATTGACTTGTTCTTCCACTAAAGCACAAAGGAGACAGGCTGAGAGAACAGCTGCGATGAGGCAGACTGTAAACAGTGGCAAGCGCAACAAAGTGGCGATGAGCTCGTGATCAACAAAGAACATGTGTGGCTGCTCGGCCAGCGGTACTTCGCATGTCGCTCACTAGTCACTAGTGTCACTTGCAGTGTTGCTGCTCAGTGGCCATCGTACTTAGCACTGCCATGGTAGCGAGGTACAAAATTCCACCGGTGATATCTGAAAATACAATCCCACAGTCGTACTGCTAAAGCTGAGGCAAGTTGGGGTGTTCACTCAGAACTGTATCAAAATTGGATCGTGCATGCTTCATCACATGCACTGTGCATGTATAAGTGTGCACGTGGCGCTCAGTATATCTGTGTTGGTTCAGTTCCTGCTACCAAAGTGTCTTTTCACGCCGAATTCTGCACGGTCATTAACCTATGGTGATGGGCTCACAGGTACAATCCTGAGAAGGAACTGGCTAAGTCAGCTCCATTTGCAAAGACAACTTGGATTGGATTAGCTTAGGCAGAATTTTCCTGCAAAACATAAGAATGAGTCTGAGTGAGTCAAGCAAGCTCTGCAAGGCAACGACCGTTCCCCTTCTCGCCATCTCGGAGCACCTTGCACTTGAGAGAGGCTCAAGATCTGAAAGAGTGACATTATGTCAAAGCTCTTCTAGAATGCTTTGAAGCACCGTTTTTGCGAGTTGCATCCAGCATTTGCCTGGCACGAGCCTGAGTTTTAACAACTCAAAAGATGAACAAACAACCCTGGTTCTTAGATTGGTCAGCGAAGGGTGTGCGTTGAAGCAAAACCAAGAGTGGAACTAGCTAAACATGCTACAACTTTGCATGCTGCCAGCACAACCCCTAGACTGGGAGCAAATGCTTCCCACACCTTCTCACAACATTCAATGTCCAACCGCAGAAATGCGCAGCAAAAGTATGCAAACTAAGTCAAGTGGGCTAGTCTCCTTACAACGGACCAAGGCCAAATACTAATCCTGTTATAGGTAGCATCACGCTGGGGCTTCGGATACATCCCAGTGTTGTGAACGCCAGCTAAGCCTGGCTCTGAGCTCTAATCTTGATCCAGGTTGCATGCAGTTCGCCACTGCGACGGCGCTCCTCACGCAGGAGATCTTGTTGCGCCTGGAGCATGCGGCCGTCGCAGTGGCTTCTGAAAATACAACTGAAATTGTACAAGAAAGACCTTTTCGTGGTGTACAGGGAGTGGTGCAACCGTCTTTTCCGTAATTTACCTGTCAACCTCTATTCATCCTTCTCTTGTCGCATCCTGCCTGCACTTTTGCCATGGCTTCCTCAAGCTCATCGCTGTAGCTTTCCAAACGACGCCTCAGCCACAGTCCCCACTCCAGTCCAGCTTATGCAATCAAACCCCATTAAGATTGGTCCGATGTTTTCCTCTGTCACCATCATAATCTTTAAGATTCCATGAGACAGATTGAGCAGCTTCATGCATCTTCATGCAACTACCATTGCTAGAGCCGGTTTGCCAAACATGTGGGGCCAGCTTTGCTGCTTAATATTGCTGCTGGGAACGCCTCATCTCAGCAAGCTTGCGTACAGAACCACGATGCCGCTCCTGCTGTGACATCAACGACACTGACAGACTTTAGACATATTCTGTCATTTTACTAGTTACATCTAGTTACTAGTTTGTGGACAGTGTACATGTACCAACATCCAGCAATTCATGTCATGCTGCAGAAAGTGCCTCCGAACACCGGAGGGCTGCTTCTCGAAGCTCCAAGTCCCTGTGCAAATGCAGCACGCTTCTCCCTGTTCTGGGCTTGGAAAACACAAGATGGAAAACATAAGAAATGCATAACTCCAAAAGCCTTTCGGCCTCAACTTCCAGAAATCAGAATCTAACAAACGTCGCCTCTCACGTTGCTCCACTTCAAGTCTTGCTTGCTCCACCTGAAAGTTTACGCCATGTTGCCTCTATACTGAGTCATAACAATAGCTCTGGCGGACATTTAACTAGAAAAACGCAGTGCCTCTGCCCATGCGTCTGCAATTTCCTTGGCTTTAAACTCACTTCGTGGATACAGGTGCAAACCGTGTGCGTATGTGTGGGAGTCACTGCCTGCAGGAAAGGATCTAACTTGCTCCAAACTGCATCGTCACCATCAAGCCTGAGGCTGTGAGGCTGTCCCTTTGTCCTTTAGGCTCTAGGTGATTCTGGCTGTACATTGAAAAGACCTTTGCTCTTGGCAAGTATGCAAAACCAAATAAGATAAATAAGCTGAGTCGTCCAACCAATCATCACTCATCAGGGGCTCAGGCCTAGCAACCAAAGAGCGATGAGACATGATGAGACACGATGAGACAGTTCCAAGAACACCGTGACATCCTCAAGCTCCTCAAGCCAAGCTGGCTGCTGTGTCCGAATCCGTGCTGGCGCGCTGTGCACCTGACTGAATTCAAGCGTGTATGTGTATATATATATATACGTTGAAACAGCGGGGGCTAGCTACTCCATGCAGTGATGCAGTGACAGAAATAAAACCCAAGGTTGAAGACGAGCTAGCTTCCTCAGCTGTCATGATTCCGGATTGCCTTTTTGAGATCGGCCCACTGTCCTGGAGACCTCATTGGTGGTGAGAAAGCTATCTCTGCTGTGCCACTGGAGGCAAAATCCAAGATCAGACACACAAACCTCATCAAGTCTGGATTTTATATCTCGTATCATCGCGTGATGTTCAAACAAAAGCAGCGCAGCAATGTTAAAAGCATCAAGAGATGACGCTCAAAATTAAGTTGCCTTTGAGGCGAAAATGACGAGTCATGAAATCTGCAAGAGGCTCAGAGTCGAAATGAGTCATGAGTCAAGTACGGCAAACATGTTGCAGTTGTCGATCACCGCGTTCCAACCAAAAATCAACATGGAAGAATGAGCCATCTTGGTCCTCTTGCACTCTGATTTCAAACAGTGAGACGTGAGAAGCCCGGATAGCGGGGCTTTCAGGAAGATATGTAGTAGGCATCCAGGTCTGGCCTTGATTTGTGTGGCCAGTGGGAGTGCCCTTCTCTGTTGGACAACAATATAGGCAAAACGAAGCACTCAAACAGCGCCCTGTGATTTATGATCTTTTGGACGGAATTGAACTGTCAAAAATGTGATCGTCCAGAATAAAACATTGACAAACATCGTTCAGGAGTGCTGGCATCGAAGATTGAGGATCGCTGCCCTCCAGGGTTCTGCAGCAAGTCGCTTCGGCGCTGTCCATGCCAGGCCTGCAACACTGAAGCAAAGAGTCTAGGATTCAGTATATAATCCATTCAAATCCTCACGCCGACAATTAGAAGTGTGATAAATTGTGTGCTTTATGGTTCAATGATAATTATTCAATATCTCCAAAAGTGTGCCGACTCTCTGTGAAAAAAATTGCAAGTGAGACATTGAACGAATTTTCTGGACTTGTCACAGTCTCTTTGAACCTACTTCAGACCTTGCTCCAGGCCCAAGCTGAACTCTAGGAATCAGGCCCAGAAGGAAACCAGGCTTCCCACAAGTAAAGCTGCACAGCAAAGGTACCTACAAGGGATGGTGTTGTACGGTGCTGTGCTTAAAAAGCTGTTTTTCAAAACCTTGCTAAAGGAGTGCATCGGCAGTAGTGGTGATGGACCCAGTTGAACCCAGTTGACCCGATTGACTTTGTGTGATGGCAAGGATGGTAGTGCCAGTGGTAGCAGCAGCAGCAGCAGCAGCACAAGTACAAGTACAAGTACAAGTACAAGTACAAGTAGTAGTAGTAGTAGTAGTAGTAGTAGTAGTAGTAGTAGTAGTGGTAGTAGTGGTAGTAGTGGTAGTAGTAGCTACTTGGGGTCAACTGGGTCAACCGGGTCAACCGGGTCTGGAGATTTAGCGTGGCCCCCTGTGCGGTCGCAATGATATGAGGGACGGTCAAAACTCCTTATTCTTCTTCAACAAAAAAATGGACGTCATCGGTTTTGAGTCGGACCTTATCGTTTTACAGTGTTTTGAGTTCGTCGCATACTTATGATCATATACAGCGCTGGGGTTATCGGTTTTGAGGTGGACCTTATCGTTTTGCAGGGTTTTGTGCACAAACCTACCCCTCTTTACTAAAGTGGTCTTCGCATGTTTTG